GGTCAGTCAGCCCACCACGGCTTGCCTCTTTGCTAAACAGTCACTGATAAATATCTTGCCTAATGCTAATGCAGCAAATAACCTTCTCCACTTCATTCCCATCACTTCCTCTCATGCATGTTCCATCTTGGAAGACCCTTCTTCCAGTTTTAGAAAGTGGAATATAGAAGCTTAAGCGCTTAAAATCTGTTCAGTAAGAAATTGAAGGACAGGTGGCCGAATTCAGGAACACTTCTGTGTCTTGCTCTTAAGATTAAAATCAGCTACAGAAGCTACGGTGCAAATCTGTTCACAGGATGGAGAAGCAACTGATTAAAGGTCATTTCTTGCCTGTGGAAGAACTACGAACTGAGTTTCAAAGGCAAAGAAGGACTGATGGTTGTTTTCTATGTGGAGAGCTGGTGACCTGGGATTGCCAGAATTGGCCCGTATCCCTGTGTTCTTCTGTTCTTCTGGCCTTAGCTAAATTTTCCACAGACCAGCACACCGATCTGAACAGAGCACGGAATTCACTACAGATATTTCAACTTCAGCTACAAGAAAATTTGCTGGGATCCTGAAGTTTAATAGAAAGACCTAACTGGCTCACTTGTGGTTAATTGCTTCGTTCAATGATTTTTATAACTGATCACCAACAGAAAAATTCCTCTTGCATATGAAAACCCCTTCTTCCCCCAGAGGAAAAAAACTGAGGGTACGACATGAGGGAGGAAAACCTACAAAATCACCGAGGCAAGAGTTCAACACATAAAGAGAAAAGAAATAGCCTTGGACTTACCTTATTCACCAAGGCAAAGAAGGCAGGAGAAATGGATGGAAGAGCCTTGAGTTGCTCAGGTTTTTATACTGAGTCCCAAGTTGCCCAACAACCTGGGACATTCTTTGTGCATGAAGTTATTTATGAGCCATGACTGATTACATGGCTTTTTGCCTCAGTATTTTTGTTTATTACTGCTTCACTTCCTTATCTTGTGGCATTATATCTGACCACAAGGTTCTTTCATCTTAAAATATTCCAGGCCAAGTTAATTTCTGGGAACACTAGAATGATTAATTCAGAAGAATTTATTCTGCCTTCAAAACCCTTTTGGATCTGCCTGGTGTCATTAAAGGAGATTAAGCATAATTTACATAATGCCATCCCTTGTACCCTCCTCTGCAAGGGAAATACTGTTGGAAATCACAAAGAATTTCAGCTTTTGGGAGTCAACCCATGAGTCTGGAGATTCAAGAGAGACTGTTTTCTTCAGAAAATGTCCAGGAATACACACAATTTTCCCCAAATTCCTATCCCAATATGAGAGAAGCAGCACAAATACCGTTAAAAGGGAAGAACAGTGAAGGACCCCATGAGAGCTGGGAGGAACTAAACGTTTTATGGCTGTGTACAAAGAGATATAACTAGAAATACACTTAAGGTACTGCCCCTTTGGCATGGAAGAAGAAACAGAGTATTACAAGTCCAGTTTAAAGAGATATCAGATGATAGCACTTCTGTGGAAGAGTCCAAAGGAATAATTTTATCAATATAGGCTCCTTCCTGGTTGTTTCTAGTTCTGCACCTGATCTTTTGGGTGTTCTTTATCTAAAGAACCCGCAAACCCACTTTTAGTCTTATCTCAGCTCTCAAAACACCAGCAACTGTTTTCAGGCTGCCTTCCATGCGCGTGAATAAGTTGCATTGCTGGCTGACTTCTGCTCTCAAGTTTTCCTGCAAAAACTTTGCAAAACTCGGCTGCGGAGGCAGAAGTCATCGAGTACAACAATTCCTCCTTTCCTGCGGAGGCATTCATTTCTCCAGCTGTCCCCTGCAGTGTTACAGATTTCTTACAGACCAATGGCAACCAATATCAAAAAATGTCAACGATTTCTTCACCCGCAATCAATTTTTTTGCTTATTTTACGACACCCAATGGATTGTGCAATGAAATCGAGCATCATCTATAGGGGGACTTGCAGGATAAATGGGAAAGGAGGGAAATCCATAAGCAATCCCAGACACGGAGATTAGTACTGAGGGTTTTGCTTAGCTAGCACTTTAATTACTGAGACATGTAAATCATCTCTAATTTAGGAGTGTCTTTGCAAAGATCCCCTGGGAACAGAAACTTGTTTGGCTTGGTCAGAGGTTCCTGAGAACTTCTCAGTTTATCAGAAGGTTTTATTAAACTGCCAGGCATGCAAAGCACTGTATTATGTGCAAATGTGAGATAAGTGACCCATATTTGAATTATTATATCACTTCTGTAATAATATATTAAAAGTTAGGAGTACAGGTCAGGCATCAAGTTCTAAAATTTATGTCGTTGTTCCTGGCTGCAGGAATTACAGCTATTTTATTTTTAATTAAAAAATAGGTCAAGGTTTGGTTTAAGCCATCTCCTATTTCAAGGGGATTCCCAATTAAATTGCTTTAACCCTTTTTAGCTTCACCACTCCTGTCCATTTCTCAGCACTTCTCCATTTTCTAAAGGATTAGCAGCTTCTTCAAAAATAATTTCCTATATAGCAGCCAGTATCTGATAGCTATTGGAGGAATTAATTTGCATAACAGTATCCATAGATTACTTTAATCAATTTTTTTTATTCTCCCTTCAGCCGAGCTCTGCTTGGAAAACACAAAATACTTTTAAAGTCACACTTTCAAAGTCACACTATGAGTTTTGAAAAAGGATCTAGCAATATTTTCAGTCTTCCTTGAAAATAATTGCAATAATTATTGTTCTAGTTCCAGCCACTTTATTGTACAGTCAGAATGACTGAATGGCCCGATCTTTGAGATGAATTAAAGTGAGTGAATCACAAGTTCACAGCTTTTTTTTTTTTTGATAATCAAGGACAGACCTATATGTGCAGATTATAATTAAAACTTCCTGCATAATGTGAGAACATCCACCTGAGACACCTGTGAGTGACTAAACGTCTGGAAAAAAAAAACAACCACAAAAGAACTTAATCAAAATTGAATTGGAAGCTTACTCACAGTAATTGCCGCGTAATAGCCCCAGACACAGAAATTCTAATCTGTGCATGAAAAAGCAGACACTCAGAAAATGGAAGTTTCCCTGGCAAGAAGTGCCAGCTGCAATAAATTCTGAATTGTAATTAATTAGCTGATTATAAAGAAATGGGTGCCTTGGGGGGTTTGAGCATCAAACATATCTACAAAAGTTCTCAGAGCCCTCCTGCACCATTCCCTCCTCTCACAACAGCTCCAAAGTTCTTGCTTTTATCCCAGACCTCATTCTTAGCCAATTGTACTCATGCAGATGCTCACTGTCAGCATTAGCAGCAGCCTGACTATTCTATGAAGCCATCGGAAGTTCCCACAATCATCCAGGGCACCTGGTTCCTGGGAGTCAGCCCCGCTCATCGCCTCCTCGGATTAGCAAATTCTGCCTTATCGCTTCAAACAGGAGAAATCTCCGTAGCTTCAGGCTGGTTTAGGGAGGCAGATTGGATGCCTCTGCAAGGCATTGCTGGTTTTATTGCAACCCTCCGTTCATTGTTTGCTCTGTATGTAAACTGAGTTGGCTTTTAGGGTAGGCAGAGCCCGGGATTAAGCTCTGCAAGTTCATTTTCTGCTGTTCAAACAGCTTCCCTGCAGGCAAAGGTGTTCAAACATGGGTGGATACGTAGTCCTTGACTTTATACCTTAGCATAGGTATTTTCATTGTTAGTGTTATTCAATTGCTGTTACGAAGAACTCCAGAATTACTGAAGTTTGAGGTTTGGGTCTGCATCTTACTGTGGTCTAATAAGCTTTAACAATTTACGTTACAATTTGCCTTTTTGTCAGAAAATAAGTGTAAGTGCTCTGTACAGATCTGTGGAGCTGTACTTCTGCAAAGAGCCCGGAGTAGTGTGGTTGTAAGGCTGGAATTCAATGGGGAACCGTGGCAGAAAACAACAACAAAGCTTAATTTATGCTGGGAGGAAGAAAATATTTACTCATGAAACACTCTGCAGAACACCACGCCCCAAATGGGTGTGCTTTAATGACCTTTCCAATACATGTGCATAGTTTTGCAAACGCAGATTTTAATTCTACCTCAATTTGTAAGAGTGCAATTAGTATTTCTATACCCTTGGCTCCATGTGTCAGACACACCTTTCTTGCAGAACATTTCGGTGCCACCAAGACTGATGAATACGCACTTGTAACCCATCACCTCAGAGCAAGGGATTGCCTAGAATTGATGGTATAAATCCTTTTCACGAGATTTCGCCCACCTGCATTTTGCTGCAATCACATGCCAGGTCCCTGATTTTATCTTTACTTCCATCAGTCATTTGGGGAAGGCAATGTAGCAAATTTGTAGACAAAGTATCTACTCTGTAGCGAGTATCTGGCTTGCTACAATTATCTAGGTTACAAAGAAACAAACCAGCAAACCCCCAGTGCTCGACTTTGTTACAAAGTATCTACCTTGTATCTACAACATTCCCAAAGGTTCGCGGCTGTAAAAGGGTTTCCTGGCACAGCAGCCAAATATTTATTCCTAGTCAACATGAGAACGCAGCTTTCAATCAAAAAGGAAGGGAAACAGTAAGGAATTCTACAAAAAGTGAGCTGCTAAAAGTTTTTCCAACAAACGCCAAGACACTCGGGTTGTGATGCGGTGTAACTTTAATTAGAGCAAAAAAAAGCAGAATAAAAAAGTACAAAGTGTTAAGTATGTATTTCTAGGATTCAGTAAGGCAACAGCTAATAAGTCTAGTCATCCTGAGCTGCTTTTCTCAGCTCTGCTGTGAACAGAGACAGTAAAGTCCCATCTACAGCAATAGAAAAAAAAATCATCAGAAATATTAAGCATTTGCAGAATAAGACAAGCAGAGGACTGATTTTAGGAGGCGCCAAGCTCCTACAGCTCCATTTACTTCAGGTGGAGCTGTGGGGATCCAACACCACATCTGAAAACCACAGCCATGAGCTTCAGTCCTGCATCGGGTCATGCTTCGATGTTCCTTGTCGTTTCTTCCTGCTTGCTCCTCTTGCTTTAGCATGGCTCACCAAAGCTGCTGCGGTAGGTGTTGTAGCGGCGGTAGGACCGGCTGTACCCGCTGCCCACGCCTGGATAACCAAAGCTCCCCAACCCTGAGGAGCTGCCGGAGCAGATGGGCACTCCCTCAGCATTGAGAGCGCTCCCAACAGCTGCAGATGCGGAGGAGCCCACCGTGGTATTTTGGGGGAAGGAGCTGAGGATGGGTCCAGGCAGCGTCACCACCACGGGAGGGGGTTGGATCACGTACGTTGAGTCCTGGCACTGCCTGACACAGGGCTCGTTGCAGCTGTTGGCCAGCGGGGTTGGGCCGCAGGAGGTGGGAGAACACAGGTCATAGGAAGACATGGCTGTAGGACAGAGGGAAGGCTGAAATACAGGCGAGAAAGCAAATGCAATAGAAAAGCTGTATGATGTTTACAGGACAACGTGAGAAAATAACTAGAGAAGGTGGTCAGAGAGGTAATCACTTGTTAGATTAAAATCCACAGTCTGAAAAGAGCAGAGAGGTTGCCCTTAGGGTTATAAGGCTGCTAGAGGATGTGTGTGCTCTGCAGTTGGCCTCTGCTTTCATGCCAGTTCTGGTAAAGTCTGCCCTAACCCCTATCAGGAAAAGCTTTTCCCATCTTTTGGTGGTTTCTCTTTGCCCTGTCTCTCAGCAGAACGTGCATTTCAGCAGCTGGAGCTCTCATCAGGCACAGAAAGGGGCCCTGTGCTGACACATAACTGGGTTTAGTGCCTTCATGCTATAACTTAGGCGCTAATAGCCTGGCCAGTCGCACTTCCAGAACTACAGAAAAGTGTTTCAGAAACATCTTTTGCTCCCAAATGTTGCAGGATCAGAACAAGCAGGCTTGGAGAGCGAAGAAAGGTTATTTTATCAATCACAGGTTTCTGCCTTATTTTCAATCCAATGTATCCCAGTTTCTCAAAATGAGACTGTATTTACAACTGGGGTCATTGGTTAGCTACTCTCTTCATGTTGGATTCTAAAACAGAGCGTGAAGCTGCTTGTTTTGAGAGACAATATCGCCAACATCCTCTAAATCCTGTCTTAATTAAACCCTGCTTCACAAGTAAATAAAGTCTCGCTTTTTTGATAGAAGTAAGCCTTTCTAATTTTCCTTTTCCAAGAGGAAAAAAAAAAGAAGATAAAAATATTTATAAAGAACTAAGAATAACCAAAAACAACCAAACAAACAAAAAAGCAGTCATCAAAGTAACAGTTTAGCATTTAAAAAGACAACTGGGTAGATTCAGACTTACCTGTTCACCCAGGAGAATAAGGCAAGAGAAAAGGATGGAAAAGTCTGGAGTTGTATAGGCTTTTATACCATGTTCCAGACTGCCTGCAGACCAGAGACGTATATTAAGCATAAAATTATTTAATGATCTGTGCATCTGCATGCAAAATCCACCAAACTGATCAGCTCCTTTTTTTTTTTTTTTATTTCTCCCCTTCAAAATGTCTTTTGGTGTTGCTCTGGTTTTTTTCCCTCCCCTTATTACACTCACATTCCAGTAGAGACAAAGCTTTCATCTTCACCAGTGGGCACCCACTTAATTGCTTGGAAGACTGTGGTGACTCTTTTGAATTACAGCATTAATTATGTTGCCTCCTAAGGCCAAAAGTACATTATATATTTCACTTTTGTCATCAAGACACTGCTTAAGGGGAGTGTATGTGATGAATAGTCTTTATTCAAGACTTCACTCCTTTAGGTGAATAATCATTTAACTCTGAGGTGGGAGCCTGGGCTCAATTCATAAGCATTTCCATTTCAAGGGCTCAGCTTTGCCACAGGACGAGATGGGTAACAGGTATTCCCAAATTTTGCACTTCTGCACTGTTTCAATCCCACGCAAACACACAGCTGAGAAGAGTGCCAAATTTCCATGAGTATTGCAAAGGTTAAAGAAAATTAAGACCGGTGAGAATTGCTGACCAGAGACAACAAAACACATTCTAGAACTGCTTGGGCTGAGCCACAGGTTTCTCTGTTTACATGAATGCAGCTAATACATCCCTATACAAGACTGCATTTCTTTACCCAATCATAAATTTTAACTTCATTTTCTATGCCATAGTCAAACAATCACACTCTTAATGAAAGAGCTCTACTACTTGATCTTATTACTTGGGGACATTTATTAACCGCCTCTACTTCATGACATGATTTCTATGCAGCCTCTCAAATGAGGAATCCTCATTATTCCCACCTGAAAGCTCAGTAAGTCTCCGGGATGTGCAGCAAATTAAGCCTGAATGTGCATGTTAAAGACTGCTTTCAAACATTTGTTCTTAAAGGCTGTGCTCTGCTTCAGCCAAACCACGGCGTCAATCAAAGTGACACCCAGGAGTCCTCCACCGCATTTATCATTGCAGTGATTTGTTTCCCCTCATCAGCCTGCAGTGTCCCGCCCTGGCTCTGCTCCAATTTGCTGCAAATAAGTAGGCAAAAAGCAGGGATCAGGACTCTCCTTTTAGCACCACCATCTCCCAGCAAGAGATAGGAATTAACTCTAAGTGAAGGGTGTCTTTATGCAGACGTTGGCCTTGTCTTTATACAGACGTAGGTCTTGGTCTCCAGAAGAACAAAGGACTTCGAATTTCAGAACAGCTTCTCTGTAATGGCTCAAATATGCAAAGTTTCCTGTTCAAGGTACGTGACAAGATCTCAGCACTCACACCATCTGGCTAACAACCCCATTTCAAAGTGGGTGAGTCAAGATGGCTCAAAGGACTTTTCCAACTAATTCAAGGTAAGCACCTTCAGAAACTTGATTATTTTATTCAAAAATATCGTAAATTATTTTTAAAATAAAGGCAAATCTTTATCCTCTATTGTTCTACATATTTCAATGGTTCTCCACAAGAGCATTCTTATTTTCTTTTCTTCTTCCTCAAAATCTCTGCTACCCAACACACTACCTGTTGTCTTTATATACATATTTTTAAAAATTATTTCCTACTATAGTAGGTAAAGGCAGTCACTCACCTGGAGAATTCATTTCTGTTGCATCTGTAAAAAGAGATAGGTGACAAATGCTAACTTTTCCTCATTCTTCCCCCTTGGGACACAAACACATTTTCTTGGAGGGTATATAATATTTTAGGAACAGGTTCATGAACAGCCTGGAAATGCTTTCATTGATATTCTGCCAGTTCAGTACAATCAGCACCCAGAGTTCACCCTAAAGGTGGAGAGCCTTTGGATCTTGGTTTTTTGGGGCTGTTAAGGCTGCAGAACCAGGACATAACAGCTCTCGTTTACAGATCGTAATGAAGTTTCACATTCCACACACGAAATTAAAACCCTTTGTGGAAACAACAGAGGGCTCCCACGACAGGCTGGTGAGCTCCCCAATTGCCCAAGAACTGACAAATTACTTACGTGAGTGGAAATTTGTATCGTCTTTGTGTTGGCTTCAGAGGCTTGAGTGGAATAGTACAAGGTTTTCAGATGATCCACAGGTCTTTGAGATGAAAGCAGCTTTGAGGAAGGTTTTTCATCTGATGCCAGAGAGAGACTAGACCAGTACAGAAACCATGAGCAGGTTAATTAACTACTGGGAGCAATTTAACTACTGGGGACAATTTAACCAGCTTCAACAGAATGTGTACAGTCAGAATTATTTGAAAGCCTCAAACCGTTTCAACATGAGAATCTCTTCAATTCTCCTCCCCAAAATCTATTTTTTTAGTAGTTTCAGTGGCTGCTCCAGAACTGGTTTAAACCTCAGATCCTTATGTGTAACAAAAACAGTTCTCTTGTGAGGTTTTCTCAAGGTTTGTATGCCTACAAGTGTCCTGTATTTGTTTTATGCTAGCACGTTTTGTGCTTTTTTTTTAGAATCCTGTAGGGCTGCAGAGAGACTTCTATATTTTATATGGAGCCCTGAAAACACAATACTTAGGCAGTAAACAGCAAGTGAACAGACCAAAGAGTTTTGCTGACTGTCACAAAAAGCTGCCTGCATATTCCTCCTTTGAGACTTCTACTGCCCTTCATGTTTTCCTTCACAAACCCAAGCATTCAAGCAGTGATTTGATGGTAAAAGTATGCAAATCTTTCTTTGCACCCTGCAGCTCCAGGTCGGAGTTATTGAGAGTGTGAATCACACCAGGATTCCATAAAATAAATACCATTATAGGCTAGATGAGATACCTTGCCATTCTGTAAGATCATAAAACGCTTCCAGCCTTGAGAATAATTTCTTGGCAAAGGTGCAGAAAGCCAAGTGTTATGATGAGTCAGTGTGGAATCAACATGCATTTCAGCTGCAAAACTAAATATTTTTGAACTCTCAACATATGTTCTCCTCTGATTAGTGGCCCCAGTTGTATTCATATCATGTGTCTGCCTGGTAATGATGATTTACACGAGGATAAATTTTGCCCAGAAAAAAAGTTTCAAAAGAAGGTAGGAGGGGAAGGAAAAAATAACAGAAGTCTAGAGAGACCATAAAAGCATAACTTTAATAAAACCAAAGAGTGAATTAAAATACTGCAAAGCAACAAGTTTCACCACGATAAGAATGGCACGTCTCACGGTGACATATTGCACAGACAGAACTCTTCTTTCAGTGAAGCATTGCACCCTGACAATCAAGCCCCATCTACTAAATTAAAACTTTTACACCAGGCAGTATCAAATACAGCGATGCGCGGCAGAACCATATACCTGAGTGCGAGTATGAAGTAGTATAACAAGAGTAGGGGCCTCATTTTAGGGAATCACTAACTCCCACCACTCCAACAACTTCAGGTGGAGCAGGGGATCTTTAACACCACCTCTTAAAACCGTAGCCATGAGCTCAATCCTCTGTCAGGTTGTGCTTTGGTGTTCCTGGTCGTTTCTTTCTGCTCGCTCCTCATGGCCCGTAGAAGCCGCTGCG